ACATACAAACCACAGCAATTACACATATTCCAAAAGTGTATATAATTTAAAATGTATAATCACTTGGCACAACTCACTAACAACTTAATTCTATACATATTTAGAGGTCCCAGCAGGTGCTGGGCAGTGGGCAAGGTGATAAGCACATAGTGGTGGCCCAGTCAGCCTTTACTGAAGTCACATTCTGGGAAGATGAATGCCAAAGAGGTAAACCTAGCAGTGATCTGAGTGTGTCTCCCCCAAAATTCATATGTTAAAATCCTAACCCCCAAGGTGACCATATTAGGAGGCGAGACCTTCAGGAAGTGACTAGATCATGAGGGTGGATCCTCCCTGAATGGGATTAGTGTTCTTAGAAGAGGCCCAAGGAAACTCATTCACACCTCCTTCAAGTGAAAGACAAAGAGCAAGGAGGTATCATGTGTGAGTCAGAAAGTAGAGCCTCACCAGATACCAAATGTACCAGTGCCTTGATCCTGAACTGCACAGCCTCCAGCACTGTGAGCAATCAGTGTTGTTTATAAGCCCAGCAAGGTATTTAGTTATAGCAATTCCACAGATAGTTATGAAAGACAGGAACACGGAACTGGGAGAGAGGATAATGGCCAAGACCCAATTTAGAAAGACAGAGCCTATGGCTGAATAGGAATTAGTCGAGTTTCTGGTTTATTGCCTACTATCCCACTCAGAGGTTTGAAACAACACATTTCTTTATGTTAATATCTCACAAATTTTGGAGTCAAAAATTCATGTAAGACTCTATTGAGCAGCCCCACTCAGATTCAAGTGATGGGGACAGGGACCCCCATATTCCCATGAGAGCCATGTTTCAAAGAATTTGCAGCCCTTTGTACCAACCAGGCAAAGGGGAGCTGGGGCACACAGTACAGTAGGGGGTCGGGGGGCGGGGGGAGCAGCCAGTTCCACAGAGCTTTGAATGAGTTCTAAGGATTTCGAATTTTATTTTCTATAGAATGTGACGCTAATAAGTTTTAAACAAATAAATTAACAGCTCCCCTATACTACTGAAGCTTACGTCTATAGCATCTATGTTCGTTATGTGCATCTCGCTGCATTCATACAGCAGAGGCTGAGACACCTTTGTATTCTGGTCATCATAAACACCAAGTGAAATACATGTTAATAAATAACTGATGATCTAAAACAGCTGGAACTGGGCAGTCTTCAGTTTAGTGATTCTCAAACTTTTAATAAGCTCCTGGGGGCTATTAAAATGCAGATTTTGACTCAGTAGGTCTAGGATGGCCTGAAGTTCTGCCTTCCTAACAAGCTTCAGTACCACATTTCATACTTGAGTAGAGAATGTTAAGAAATCATTGTGTGTCAGATGTTTCCAGCTCCAAGAAAGAGACAATGGAATGCAGATATCAAATAACTGAAGATGAAGTGACGTCATCCAGCCCAGGGTCTTCTTCCTGTCTCCCTGTCGTACTATTCTCATCGCCACTTTCACCTCCACTCTAGGGCCTCTCATGACCTTGGATAGCTGCTACAGCTCCAAAAGTCACTTTTGCTATCTATGAAGTCCAAAAGGTGAAAGATACCATATCAATGTATGGAGAAAGGAAGCCATTTCCACAAGTCCTCCAAAAGTCAGTCCCCAATATCTCTGTGGACAAAACTGAGTTTCATGCCCAACCCTAAATCAGACATGGGCAAAGGAATTTTGTGCCTGGCCTAGATTACCAGGATCTACTGCTAGAACTGGCGAACTGAGGCAAAACCTGGGCAAAGCCAGAATTCTCTTCAAAAGTGGGAGCAGGAAACCAGCAGCACTCACTGTACTGTGAAATGCAATTTGGTTAACTGCTTGTGTACAGGCCTATGCATTATCTATATGTAATGCAGAATTTGGCAATTTCTCTAAGAAAATAATATTAAGTACAAATTAGTAACCGTTACTCAACATCCATTAAAAAACATGTGTAAACAGGGGCTGGCAGGTGGTGTGGTGGTTAAAGGTGCTGGATTCCCATGTGGCTGACCATGGTTCGAGTCCCTGACCTGGCGGCTTGCTTTCTCACCTTCCCTTTGTCTCTCTCTCTGTCTTTGTCTGGTGAAATTTAAAAATAACAAGTGAAAATACATAAATATTTTTTTTTTTTTAATGTGGAAACAAACTTCTCATGATTTGAGTTGAGGTGGAAAGGTCTGGTTCTATGGGAAATACAGACCTGTTCTCCTGAAATCTGCAGACTTGCTGGATGACTACACAGAAAGAAATGAAACAGCCTACTGTGTAAGCAAATGAATTCTTTCACTCCCTTGGCCAACAGGTACTGGTTGTGTCAAGGTCTATAGGAGATCCAAAGATAAGGCACAGGCCCCTTCCGTAAGAATTCTGTAGTCTGAGGCAAATAAATAATGAAGGCCCCAGCAGGTGCAGGGGTAAGTGCTATAACGAAAAAAGGCGGGCAAAGTGTTCTGGAAGCTCAGAGAAGGGACAATGTGCTTCCGGCCTGGAGGGCCATAAGGAGGGTGGAGAATGGAACCAGTCTAGTACTAGACTTGAAAACGGGGATTTTCTTTCTTTCTTTCTTTCTTTTTTTTAAAGTTGATTTATTTCTTCCACAACCAAAAGAAACACACAGATAGAAAGAGAAAGAAAGAACAAGCAAGCAAGAGCACCCTGACAGGGTCTTGATGCTGCGATCCACCCCCAGCCTCAGCTAACCCAGGATCAAGAGCTCACATATGCCTAGTACAGATAGGGAGGTCTGTGGATGCCAACCTTCTCATGCAGGTAACCTTACAGAACAGAGCTGTAGGGTTTTACTGCTGTGCCAATGTTCAGCCAGGGAGGTGTTTTTTGCTCTCTCTCTCTTTTTTTTTTTTTTGGTTAAGTTTTTGCCATAAGGCACATACAATCACCAAAGACGCAGAGAGAGAGAGAGAGAGAAATCACCTCCCAAAGGTGATGGACATGCCATTGAGAAGCAGTCCCTTCTCTTCCAGTCTTCTCTTGGGATTTTGGGCACACACGCACACACATCCAGCCTGATTTTCGAGCTGCCAGGTCTGGGATTCAAACTGTGGTTTGAGTGGGACTCCTGCAGCTTAACCACCACACTACCTGCTGGGCCCCAGGCAGGGAGATTTTTAATAGGTGATGACGGTAGTGGAGAAAGGGATCGAGAATGGGAAGATGAAAAAAGTGAACATTCCCAATGAGGGCCAGGAGAATACAAGTGATGGCTCAGGAAAGGCAGAGACCGACACTGGACTCCTACTGATTTCTCAGCAGAATGAAGTCAGCGGTAACGCCAAGCAAGTGTCGGGTCATGAAAGAAGTAAGATAGACAAGGACACTGGGCAGAGAGAAACCTGAGCTATGTCTGTAAGGAATAAGATTCATGGGTGAGCAGGGCCGAGTGGACAGGGCAGAAGTCAGGGGAGCAGGCTTGGTTTTTGCTTATAACTCTTAAGTATCAGTCTCAAAGACAGAAAAGTTTTCTCAGTGAATACATTGCAACCACAGAGAAAGAGATAAAGTGAGAATCTTTTGATTAAAAGTCTTTAAAAGAGGCCTGCCTTACAAGTGCAGCAGGGAGGCACTGTACAGAGGGTCTGAATCCCACATTTCCCACCAGGGTTTGAGTCCCCACCTAGCCCTGGGGCTTAAAAAACACCCTAAGGTGTGTGCTCATACTCAGAATCCTGATGGAATGGAGAACTGGAGGAAAAAGGTTTGCAGCATGACCAGGTCCTGATAGCAGGCACTTTCTCCCCCTCCCCTCCCCCCTCCCCTTCTCCCTCCCCTCTCCCCTCCTTCCCTCCCTTCTCTCTCTCTCCCTCTCTCTTCTCTCTCTCGCTCTCTCTCTCTCTCTCTCTCTCTCTCTCTCTCATCTTCTGGCATTAAAAAAAGAGAGAGAGACCAGGACCAGCAGATAGCATAATGGTTATGTTTCTGGATTCCCACACGGCTGACTATAGTTCAAGTCCTGGACCTGGTTACTTATAAAACTCATGTGGAGGGACCAGCAGTTGGCATAATGGCTATGTCGCTAGACTCCCATGTAGTCGACTGCGGTTTCAGTCCCGGACCCAGTGGCTTAAACTCACACTGAGCGCGTGTGCGTGCAAGCCCAAGATCCTGACTGGAAAATGGAGAAGGGATTGTGGGTGGTCATCCCCCCCACCTCCCCGGGGGAAGAGGGGGTGATTCCTCCCTTTCTGTCTCTCTGACTCTCTTTCTGGCAAGTGCCCCATAACAAAAGCCTCTCCAAAAAAAATCTCACTCCAGGTGCCTGGGCCTGCGTGCCCAAAATCTCAAGAGGAGATTGAAGGAGAAGGGATTGCTGCGTGATGTTTTTGTTTTATGTTGTTTCTAAGACTCCTTGTTTTCGGGAGGCACATTCTGAAACATAAGGTGAAACAAGATTTTCTTCAAGGTAATACAGGGAGCGGGGAGGGGTACAGAAAAAATAAGATGGGCCAAAATTTGGTCATCGGCACAGCTGACCGCATTCTGACTACCTTGGCGCATGTTCAAATTTACCCTAATACCATAGAACGTGGAGACAACCCACAGCAAGGACCACATGGAGCAGGGCAGGGCGCCCGGGACTGCGGCCGGGAACCCACTCACTGCGCTCAGAGGACCCGCCCCGCCGGTCTCCTGCTCCGGGGTCCGTTCCTTCAAGTGTCTGGTTTATGGTGCCCCCCCGACTTTCTCATTTCCCCTCTCCCCTACTATAAGTCGCGCTCTCTATTTTTCTGCGGGCACCGCAGATGCTCCGAGCCCCAGAAGTCACCCGCGGCCTCCGCTCCTCAACGCGCCCGCCCGGCTCCCCCCACGTCCTGGGGGAGCTTGGTGGCGTCTGGCCGTGCACCCCGGGAGCGCGTCCGCGTCGTCATGGCGACGCTCTGAGCTCAGCGGCTGTGCGCAGAATCCCTCCCCGGAACCATCTCCAGTGAGCGGCCCTGGACCTGGGGCCGAGGGCGGCCGGCGGGCGGGTAGGGGCTGTCGCCGAGCGGCTGAGGCAGCCTGGAGCCCGGGCTGGGGTGCAGCCGCCTGGCAGCCAGGGAGAGGTCGGCCCGGAGGGTGGCGGCGGGTCTGGGGTCGACCCTACCCTAGCGGGGGTGTAGGGGAGGAGTAAAGGGTCGCTGAGCGAGCAGCGTTTGCAGGCCTGGGAGGGGTGCCGGGGCGAGGGTGCTGAGAACTTGGGGTGCGACGAGGGAGACCGGAGAGCCGTGCGTGGGGGGTGGAGGACGAGGAGTTGGTCCCTGCCTAAGTATAGACGGGGCAGGGGTGCGTTTGGGCAGGGCTGAGGGCTGGAGGAGAGCGAGGCAGAGGGGGGCCTACTGGAAGGAGGCAGTCTTCGTCCGTGAGAGGCTGGGGCAGTTTCTTTCAGAAAGTGCCGATGAGGCTGCTCCTTGGGTATATTAACTGTCTTCTCCTTGATGCGCTGGACTCGGGCAGAGCCAGGCCAGGCTCAGCTTTCCTGAGCTAAGGTAAAGCGCAGTGACAAGAGGTACATTTGTCCAAGTCTGGGCCTTCTCCATAAAAAACAAAGACGAAAGACAAATATCCACGCATGATTTCGCCGTTTCAGGGGTTTCAAAGAGCAGCGCTTTCCCCACAAAGGCTGGATTTAAGACACTGGATTGTGGACAGTGTGAGGAAGTGCAGGATTTGTAAAATGCCATTACTAGGCCATACATTACTAACACCTGATGAGTAGTAGAGGCAGTTCTTGCTCAAGAATGTTAAAAGGCATTGGGGTCAGTGTGGACTCCATGAAGAGAGTGGAAATTCAGATGAATATATTAGGGAAGGCATGTCCCACACAGGATT